AACACCAGAAAGATGTTTACCTGTGTTTTATTGACTATGCAAAGACATTTGACTGGGTCAATTATAACAAATTATGGAAAACATTGCTAAGAATGAGAATTCCAAATCCCTTACTTGTGCTCCTGAGGAACATGTATGCAGACCGAGAGGCAGCCATTAGAACAGAACAAGAGGATATTGTATGCCCTTTTAAAATCAAGAAAAGTATATGTCAGGGTTGTATCCTTTCACCTTACTTATTCAATCTATATGCTGAGCAAATAATACAAGAAACTGTATGAAGAAGAATGCAGCATCACGATTGGAGGAAGACTCATTAACCATCTTCTATATGCAGATGACACAATCTTGCTTGTTGAAAGTGAAGAAGACTTGAAGCACTTACAGATGAAGAGCAAACACTATAGCTTTCAGTATGGATTAACACTCAAAGAAAACAAAAATCCTCACAATTGGACCAATAAGCAACATCATGATAAACACAGAAAATGGTGAAGTTGTCAAAGATTTCATTTTACTTGCATCCACAATTAACACCCATGAATGCAGCAGTCAAGAAATCAAATGACAAATCTGCTGTAAAAGACCTCTTTAAAGTGATAAAAATCAAACATGTCACTTGAGGACTAAGGTGTGCCTGATTGAAGCCATGGTATTTTCAAACGTCTCATTCTCATGTGAAAGCTGGACAATGAATAAGGAAGACCAAAGAATTGATGCATTTGCATTATGGTGTTGGAGAAAAACAGTGAATAGACATGGACTGCCAGAAGAATGAACAAATCTGTCTTGGAAGAAGTACAGCCTTAGAAGCGAAGATGACGAGACTTCATCTCACGAAGTTTGGGTATGTTATCAGGAGGGACCTGTCCCTGGAGAATGACGCCATGCTTGGTAAAGTAGAGAGGCAGTGAAAAAGAGGAAGACCTTCAATGAGATGAATTGACATAGTGACTGCAACAATAGTCTGAAGCATAGCAATGACTATGAGGCTGACGCAAGACTGGCCGGCGTTTCCTTCTGTTGTACATAGATCCGCTGTGAGTTAGAACCAACTCCACAGCACCTAAAAACAACAATAAAACACCTAGACTGCAACTTTGATATCATTTTTAAAATTTGGTTTTCTTCTGTTGTTTTAAACTCTCTGAACTTGCAGTAACAAAACCTACCGCGTGTCTGTAACAATCTGGAGGGTTTTCTGTCTTGCAGCAATCTGCCAGGAGATTCTCATAATTTTCACCAATCCGTAAAAGCTCTGGTATAGACAGATCTTGGTGTCTCCTTGAGTATTCATAAAGAAACCTATTATGTGTAAAATACGTTATATATTAGAGAATAAGCAAACACCAAACCCTGATTTCTTTTTTTAAGTCTAGTCAGATCTGCTAATACAAAATTCGCTTTCAAATGTTAATTTTTTCCTATTGTATGTCCAGGGGGTTATGATAAATCATTTAATAAAAATTCTCTTTTATGTTTGGGTATAAACTGGCAATGTTTTTTACTGAGGGGGATATAATTAATAGAGTATGTTTAGAGTTAATTATTAGAGTGCTGTTAGCCATAGAATGTTGTTGTTGTTGTTGTTGTTATTTGCCGTCGAGTCGGCCCCGACTCATAGCGACCCCTCCTTGGGTTTCTGAGGCAGTATCAATACGGAAGTAGGATTGCCCAACCTTCCTTCCAAGGAGTGGCTGGTGGGTTTGAACCGCCAGCCTTCTGGTTAGCAGTCAAGTGCCTTAGCCACTATGCTACCAGAGCTCCCAAAGAACATTAACAACAGTATATTGTGCCATCAGCACTTTAGAAAGTACATATCAGGCATAATTCTGTTGGAAAATATGTTCAGACTTCCAACTTGGAATGATGGGAATATCCCACCCTGAGTGATCTCTCAGTGAGAGATCAGGGAGCAGTTTTGCTCATTACTTCATTGTACACTTGCCAAACTTGGGAGTGATCACCCTTCAGCTCTAAATCAGTGGTTTCCATGACCATAGTCAAAGACTCCAAGGGTACAGGAAGATGTTGTTTGGGAGAAATATAGAAAAGGAAAAGAAAGACTGGCATTTATTAAGGCCTTAGTAAGTGCTAAGGAACTCTGGTGGCATTGTGGGAAGGCATTTGGTTGCTAACCAAAAGTTTAGTGGATCCAACCGACCAGTTCTTAGATGAGGCAGTTTGCTTCTGTACAGATTTATAGCCTCAGAAACTCCATGGGACAATTCTACTCTGTCCTAAAAGATCCCTCTGACTCAGAATCAACTCGAAGGCAGTAGGTTTAGTAGGTGGTAGGCAGGGTAGTGCAAATGGTTAACATGCTAGGCAGCTAATAAAAAGGTTGGCAGTACAAGTCCACCCACAGCCACTTCAAAGGCTTGGTGATCTTTTCCAAAAAGTCAGCCATTGAAAATCATATGGAGCTTAGTCCTACTCTGACACACATGGGGTTGCTATGAGTCAAAGCTGATGTGATGGCAACTGGTCAGTGCTAGGTCCTGGATCCAGCTTTGGGATAAGATAAATATACACTTTGTGGTCCTTATAAGGGAGGTCTGATGGTGTAGTGCCTAAGGCATTTGACTGCTAAACAAAAGGCTGGCAGTTCAAACCCACCAGCCACTCTTCGGAAGGAAGACTGGGCAATCTACTTCTATAGAGATACTGCCTCAGAAACCCAAGGAAGGGTCACTATGAGTAGAAAGAATCCACCTCGGAAACCCATGGAGGGGTTGCTATGAGTTGGATTCGACTCCACAGTAGTGAGTTTCATTTTTTTTCTTTTTGGTCCTTATAAACACTACATGATTTGTTATGTATTGAATTGGGTCCCCAAAATATATGTTTTGTATATCATAACCTCCATGATCATGATTATAATACCACTGGGAATGTTTTATCTTTGTCATATTAATTAGACAAGATTAGTGTAGGGTATATTTTAAGTCAGTCTCTTTTGAGATATAGAATAGATATATAAGCAAGATAAACAAGCAAGCAAGAGAAGCAGAGACAGGGGCAGAGAGATGCCAAGCTATATGAAGACTGCCCAGGAGAGGAAGCTCAGAAGAGGCAAGAATATTCCTCCAGAGCAGACAGGGAGAAAAAAGCTTCCTTTGGACCCAGCACCCTTAATTCAGACATCTAGCTTCCTGCACTGCAAGAAAATAAATCTCTGTTTGTTAAAGCCACCCACATGTGGTATTTCTCTTATAGCAGTCTTAGATAACTAAAACATCATTTAACTTCAGTAAGTACTCAGGGTAAACGTAGTGCCTAAGGCACTTGAGTGCTAATCAGAAGGCTGACAGTTCAAGCCCACCAGCCACTCCTCGGAGGGAAGGTTGGGCAATCTACTTCTGTAGTGATACTGCCTCGGAAACCCAAGGAGGGGTCCCTATGCGTCAAGTCCGATTCAACAGCACATAACAATAACAACAATGAAGAAAACTAAGTCTCATACTAGTTAACCACACTGTTAGTAACTGGATAATATGAAATTTGGAACTAAGTCCCATAGGATGCCTAGCTCATTTTTTTTCAAACCAACCTAACGCTCTTCTCTCTTCTCAAGACATAGGTGTCTTCTCTAAGTACCTCAACTGTGCATATTTATAGTCTTCATAAAAGAATCTTATCTACTCATTCAAAATGAATTTATATGATCTTCCATGTTTTGTAGGAGCTCTGGTAGCATAGTGGC